TAGTGTGTGCATACTGCGAGTATACTATACGCGAGAATGGTACGTATAGTAACGAGGCCCTCCATATTCATGGTGTACGACATACTCGCGCAAATTTAATCCACCTGCACACCCTTACCCTCGTTCACGCTACCCCGTCCCTACTGCCCACCTTCCCGTTCTTCCTCGAAGCTTTCCTCTATTTTGTCTCCTCTCTTCCTCCTCCCTCTCCAACCTTTTCCACCATGTAATTTCATATGTTCCTTTCTTTCTCCCCCGTTTACGCTGGTACCTGAACATTTTCACCCCAGCTGCCATCGACACGTTCGATTATGCACTGTCAATATTTACCGGTACCCACACAGTCGGTTCGATCAAGTACCGCTACGTTTAAGGTATCGAACCTTATGGCCCGACGTTGGCCCGTTCGAACTCAACCCTTATTTCGTTTTAGCTATACGTATTATTTAAACATTTTTACTGTCGTTTTATTTATTAGCAGCTTTGCTCGTACTAATTACCGTGTGTATGAATTAAACGACCTTTAAATTTAATGCACAAGGTTAGATCTGAAAGATGTTCATTCAACGCGACTGTTCGGTTGTAGGGATGACCCAAATTGTACAAACGAGCTTCCGTAGTATGTGTTTGCTACACCGTTGTGAAAAATGTGTACGTGTATTTTGACTTTCCTGACGGACTGTAACGCCTATGGTAACACCGTTAAGAGCGCTAGAATGGACGGGAAGTCCCCTATGATATCATAGGGCCCCCCGCGGGAGAAGAGATTTTGCCGCTTCAATCGGTGGTTGGAATTGAAAGTTCATAGTGACATATGTAAAGTGAAGAATAAAGACATTTTTCCCAATAGACTGTTTTTGCCTTTGATATTATCCGACCAGTTCCTATTTCAAACAACCGTTTAAGAAAGACCTGGAACTTCAACTGAAGGCATGTTCCGTTTGATTCCAAACCTGGAGTTCAACGATGAAGTACAGATGGAATACAGTGTTAACTTCCACCAATGAGAGACGAACGTAGCATATTTGGACAACGCTGAATAGATGTTGAAAGAAAACCGCGGAATGAATTCTGAACCAGCCAGCCTTTCGGCGGGACTACGTAAGAATAATATCCTCTATGGTCATGGGCGTCGGGGATTTGTCTGCGACTATCTAAAATCAATTCGGTCATAGTAGGCAACCGTTCGGAGGTGCCAGTGTACGAAAACCTCGACCCTTGCCAGTGTCGGTCCGTCGGCTGTGTCAATAGCTGATAGCACGAACACTGCCTATTTCGCGCGACTACCATACGTCAAACCAGTCGAAACTTATATGCCATTTAAAGTATTCACACGAAATACTGCCATTCATCCCTGACGAATATATTCGTTGTAACACGAAATATTGCTATTTCTCCATGACGAGTATACTCGTCAATGGTTAAACCGCTGTAACATCGAGATAAAAAATCGTAGAGGTCCGATTTTTTTTTTAAATTAAAGCTGAATAATCAAGCTTTCATCTACTATAAACGGCATCGCTAAGAGAAAATTATCGAAGTCCCTGTTCATCGACAACTTTGCTAATTTTTAAGTTTCAAACATTCTCTTAGATTTAAGTGTATTAGAGTGTATAAAATTAAGAATCTTTATCGACTGACCCATTAAAAATGTCAGTAGTTACGTTTCGAGACATGGATAATCTTCTTTATGAACATAACTTCCTTTCTCGTCAGATCGGAACAGGAAAATCAGAATTACGGCCGTGAATCTTCGGCTGTTGAAAAGCTCGCATCGGAATGCGAATATTCGAGGAGTTCGATGGAATCCCGGAAAATTGCCCCTTTCTTCGTGCCGGAAGCGACAATACTTTTTCGTTTCGCTCCCCCCTTGGTGCGAGGAGCTGCCGCGTGGAAAAAATCCAATTCGACGTGCCGATTTCACGGCTTAACCTCTTAAACTTGCGCCAGCAGATATTCATAACTCTCTCTCTCTCTCTCTCTTTCTGCCTGCCTCTCTTTCCCTCTTTCGTGCACACTCTTTCCCTCACTTGCGCATACACACGTTTATAGATACTGTCTCTGATTGTGAGAAATGGCTCGAAAATACACGTCCCGATCGTACTTTATCAACTCGAATAAATAAAGGGAACTGATCAATTCACCAGACGGTTGTATTACGCAACATTTTATACCGTAGGCACGATAAAAGGTTTCGTGAAATAAAACAATAAAACAACTTGCAATATACAACTAATATATGATGAACACGATATAGAGAAATGAAATTTACCAACTGATATTTATTAAAATTCATTACAGTAATCGAGTTCAATAACAATTGATTTACAACCATAACAAAAGTTGATTAAAAAATATTTTTACCCTCCCAACATTCTAACAGCCTCGACATACAATAAATAATTTTCACGAGCCTACGAAAGTGATAGAAAGAAGAAAATCGTTAGAATCCGAGTAATGAGTTTCCCATTCAGGTGTAATCAAAGCGAAGGGAAGTCGTGGAATCGTTTGAATTTTTATTAATTTGACGCCGAGGTAGAATTTCCCTTGACGCCTTACCTTTAGTAGACGGACCGTGGATATAAGCCAAGGGTAGCAGCACGCCACCGGGGTAGAGGGGGACGGGGGTGTAGGCGTGAACGGTTTCACAATGGACGTGTCTAGCGTTAGGTAATGGGTAACGGAGCCCTTTCGGACTTTAAAAGTTCGATAATTGCCGAGGACACGTCTGCCGGTAAAATCGGGGCCGACCGCAGCCTTTGTGGTCTAGTCCCTTCTCGTTCTTCGTTTTCCCGCCTCTCCCATTCTACCGTTGATGGCTCTCGGTCGCCTGTAAAAGTCAGCATATTTCAGCGAGCCTCGTCTCGCCGAGGCTGACCGAGAATCATGGAAAGGGAACGTGAGAGAGAGAGAGAAAGTGGGGGAGGGAAGAAAAAATGAAAGATCATAAAGAGAGAGAGGCAGTGTGGCGACAGCTCGAGAGCGATGAAGCAATGCGAACGACGCAGGCGACGTGGTCGAGAGTGGAGGGGTTGCGATAACTTCGGACGGGAGGAAGTAGAGATTAGGGGTGACAAAAGGGAACGAGTTCTGTTATAGCCCAGTAAATAATAATTGTATGAGTCCTTAAATAAAATCAAACCACTTCAATTTTAATAGTTATTGATAAAACACTATAACATTGAACGAATGACGATTCCAGGTCATTTCCTTCAGATGTATGGCCAAGCCCATGAGCTCTTAAATAAAAACGATAACAAAGCATGCAGATTTTTATAGTTCTTAAATATTATTAAAATTTATGTATTTATAGTATTGTGGCACTCGTACAGTCGACACTGCTTTCCTTTTTGCCATGCTGCGAGCTCGAACGACCTCGAACTCCTCAGGACATATTGCCAAGCCTTGCATCAATCTTTGCGGTGGCCATACATCCGGATATTGAGACGATTGAGATATGCAAGACGAACAAACTATTACTTTTTACTAAAATAGTATCAAGTTTCCAAGCATACGTGAAGGGTATCAAACGTAAGAATGATTGGCGGTGGGATTCCGAACGATCAGGGACGTTAAGTCAGGATATTTTCCTTTGACAAACGGGGCTTCATTGGCCCCTTATTCGTGACTGTTCGTCTATGAAATACCTCCAATCGAATCAACGTGCAATCACCCAAATTCCTCGAGAATTTAATCAGAACGTGAGCTCTCTGTTCGCCGGCATTCCCTCCCCCTTTCTCACTCGCCCACTCTTCCCTCTATCTTTCTCTCCCTCTCTCTGTCTTCCGCTCTGGTCCCACCGTGTCTATCCTTCCCTGTTTCTCTAAACGGGACCGTCGGTTTACGGACAATAATTTTACCACGCGTGTTGGCTCTCCGGTCACGTGTATGGACCTCCAGTAGCTTCTTACAAGTTCGACAAACAAGTTTGCTTCCTTTCGTCCTTCGATATTTAGGTTTCAGTTCCTGCGCTGTTGAAACTGTGCTACGAGACGTTCCACGTTTCTTTAACGTATATTGGATAGAGACTTGGAAATTGATTAGCAAATCCAACGTGCTATTATTGTTTATCATTGATTAAATTTTATTCAGGATTGATAAAAATTAGTAAACGGAAGGAAAGAACCAATTCTTTTAAAATGAAGTAGAAGGAATTATAAATGCTGTAGTAGAACTTAAAATAAACGAACATTAAGGAAACTAATAAATGAATCTAATAACTGTGTACGAATATGGCATTCAACAATTAGTCTGTAATTAATGAATATTATTTCTTTTTAATTTAAATTTATAATAAATTTAACAGTAAAATCATGGAATTTTCTTTTCTAAATCTCACGCTAGATTAACTCCGTCCGTTTTTTATACGCACGTACTATATATTAAAGTAATTACACAATACATTACAGACAATCGTAATCTCCAGCTACGATCGTTTCAAACTCTTTGAACTTAATCCATCACGGAACATGCGAAAAGTGTAACACGTGAACTCTGTAAGGGAATCATTTCTCGGCCGCTATAAATATATCCAGTATGTTAGCGATACCATCGACGAGGCTTATTTCACACGGGGTGTTCGAAACAACAAGCGACGGTCTGATCAATTTGTTCGGTACATTTAATTTGCATTCTTCGATGTTAGCAGTGTTATCAAAAACTGCATTCGGTACAAGCCTGTCCGGAAATTTTAATATCCTATCGCCAGTTCAACGAATGAATAGCGGATAATGAGTAGACTCCGGATGTTTATGTATTTATAGAAATTTCAAATAATGTAAAGTGTGCAAAATACAAAAATACAAAATGAATTCAAAGTAAAATTTATAATATTTAGTGGAGGAAACAAACGTTGAAATGTATGCATTTCATTTCTTTAATTTTATTCATAAAAATATTTAGTAATTGTTAAAATTTCAGTTCTTTGTCATTGTTTTTATGTAAAAGTATGTACAACCTTAAATCGACCACGTAGTTAATAACAGTTGACGTATTTTCAGTGCGGTTACCTTGGCGTAATGCTTCGTGAGTCGGAGAAACAGCTGAATCATGAGAAGAAGACGCTCACCGCCCCTGCCGAAGACGATGCAACAGAATACTTAAACAGCACTGTGAAAGTTGTCCCAGGTAACAAAGAACAATTCCTTTTTTGCAACGGCAGCAGCATAACGTTTTAAGGGAATCTACCGGTTTTATTATTCAATAAAAATAAGACACCTCGCGCGGCAAATGATTGTCCGAGCTCTTCCGACGTTACTCGTTCCCTCTCTTTTTATTACTCATCGGCTTTAAGAGTCTCTTTGAATCTCATTGTTCCAGCGCTGAACTTAAACTCAGCTCGAGCACCGTTACTCAACAAAAGGGGATTGCTCGTTCGCGTAAACTGATTCAATGTTCGCGAAAGTTCCCCGCGCTCTTACAACGTAAATCCGCGCGGTACGACGGCGAAAAGGGCCTTCACGTCTTCATTAACAATCACCCGGGTATTAGAATCCGTTTGGGGACATCGAGGAGCCGCATTAAATGTTTTGACACGTCCACATTTATCACTAGTAGATACGAGCCAGTGCGAACGATCAACCTTCGATCTTCTCGAGAAACTGTAATTCCGAGTGGAGAAAATTAGAAACTTCAAAAGTCTCTCGTTTCGAATTTCCATAAAGCGGAAGGGAAATCCACGGGGATGGTCGATTGTTTTTCCGTGCATCGAACGCCGCTCAAGCGGTGATGCCTTCTTCGCAGGCACACTTAATGATACTTTGAAAGCTGCTCTTTACCGATTCCGATTCGCTAGCTGCCCGCGATAATAGAATTCAGCCCCATAATCCCGTGTTTTATGAGAGCCGTTGGAGATAAAGATGCTAAAATGAGGTTTCGCGCGGTGCCGGGGGAACGGGGCTGGAGTAACAGGAATGGAAGAGCATCGGCGCAGTGGAAAGATAAAGGACAAGGCAGTATGGGTACACCGGGACAGAATAAACGGAGGCGGCGGGGGCGTTTGAACGAGAGGATGAGAGACAGACGAGAAGGAGACTGAAGCTTGTTTTCTCGGGAGATAAAAATGTTAATTTAAAAATAAGGCGCTAGTTGGGATTAATAGGGTAATAAAAAGACCCGTTCCCGGGGAGGATTTTTCTTCCTCTCCTCGCCTACTCCGCTTCCTCTGTCTTCTATACGCCCGTGCCTTCTCCGGCTGCGAAATGGGATAATTTAGAATTATTGCAAATTAGCCGGGTTGGAATACCACCTTGTTTGCGAATAATAAAGCCTGTTCTGTTAGGACGTCGGACGAACCAAACCGAGCTCATAATAATTCTAATTTTGAAAATCATTTAATTTTGATAGCAATGTTAAAATGCTACCTCACGTTTCATTTATCGTTGACTTATACCACTTGCACTTCCTTTGGAAAGCCTGAACTCTAAGATATGAACCAAGAAATAATAATTTCAATTTGAAAAATCATTTAATTCTCAATTTCTGGTATGAATAGGAAACTAATCCCTCATGTCGCATTTGTCATTAATTTATACTACATGTACTTCCTTTGGGAAACCTAAACTCTAAGATACGAAATAGGAAATAATAATCTTAATTTGAAAAATCATTTAATTCTCAATTTCTGGCAGGAATAGGAAAATAGTCCCTCATGTCGCATTTGTCGTTGACGCACACTATTTAGAATTCCTTTACAGATGCTACATCCTAAGACGTGAACCAGTAAATGCAAAACTTTTACACTTGAAAATTCTTCTACAATGAAAATTCGTTTCAAATAATATGGACAGTAATAAATGGATGAAGGAGATTGACTGCGGTTATTCCAGAACGATATCAGGTTATCGCGTTCCAAATCATCTATTGAATAATCTCATTCATCGCCAGATGGCAAATAGATATTTGATACGTTCCAGAATTAAGATCAATTCTTTTTATGTGTATTAAAGGAAAACAGATTGAAATCGAAATATAATATCCTTTACCTTCGCATCTGATCGAATCATTCCGCACCGATGGAAAGTGCGTTTGAATCGTATCATTTGATTAACGCGGTCAGTGATTTAATTAACACATACCAAAACACCGATGAACCGCACTACAGTTTTACACGCACTGGCTGAAGCAAGGAAAACCATGAATATTTCTCCGTACGCGGCTCGGCGCGATCATCCGCATGCAGGATAGAAAATGAACGTGGCGCTTCATAAAACGTGGGTTTATACATCGTTCAGAGTAAATTGCTCTATTATGACGAACCGGGAGCAACCGTAGGCGGGGCGTAAATCAGAATCTATAAGACTTGTTCACGGTGAAACTTTATTAACGATGCAGTTACGATCTGACGGTGCGCGGGTAAAGGATGGGAGATGCAAAGAGCGTATCGCGTCGCGGTTTTATTTCTTCTCAGCCAGCGCGCGTTATCGGGGTCTCAGGTGCATTTTTATATTTCCTCGCGGCGCGCGAGAGTAAAAGTTGTAACGACTTCCGATCCCTGGGGGCGCGTGGCAACGCTAGAGTCCACGAAAAGTGACTCCTCCGCATACGTACGACTATGCCAACCGTACGAAGCGTTAGCTCGGCAACGGTCGAGTATACAAAAGAAAAGGGCTAAGTTGGCCGCGAGGAAGAGAAGAAACGTCGACGTTAGAACAGAGTGCAGAGACGAGATACAAACCTGAGGGAAAGAAAGGGAAATCGAGTTCGCAGATGGGGCAGAACAGAACTTAGAATGCAGTTTTCGCTTGTACTCGTTGGGACAATTGTACGGATCATGTCAATTGTCCCTAAATTATTTTATATAATTATTTCGTAATATGTAGATCAAAATTGTTTTGACTTAAAGTCTAGCGACGTCAGTGCAAGATTGAGTATTGAAAAAACGAGGCATGGATTTATTATTAATTTCGACGTCTTATCCTTCTAGGTCTCAGGTGAACTAAAACATTTGGAAAAGAGTGAAGAATCATTGTCCCAAGCTGTGTACATACGAGCTGGATTTACCTATAGATTGCCTGAAGGCAGGTCCTTCAGTCGGCGAGAGTTACATTTTAGTGTCCCTTGTCTCTTGCAATAGAGAAAAGTAGCGGATAGATATCTACACCCGTTCCGTTGTATAGCGAGCCGCCGGTCTACATACATACCTATACGCATCGCGTTAGGAATACGTTCGGAAACCCCGGCTATAAGAGAGGGATAACATTTTCGTGTTACCGTGGAAAACCGAGCCATGAGCTATTTGGTATTCAGACCGCGATCGGTGCTATCTGTTTATTCCAAAACAACCGCGCCTCCCTACTTCAGGTTCCATCCTTCCCCCGCTTTTCCTCCCATAGTGTTTTCTTTCTGCCTCGGTTCTACGTCTATACACACACACACATATATATATGTGGGATTCCAGAAAAATAGACGATCTTTTATGAAGATAGCCAATTGACGACGAGACTGGCAATTGTCGTTGTTGTTGTTGTTGTTGTTGTCGACGTGACTCAAAGAGAGGCAGACATGTTAATTTTTTTTCATTTATAATAATGTCCAATTGTCTATTAAGGAATCGCTTGAAATCAACACTATTCTGCATTTTCTTTGCATTTAAGATCTCAAATATATACTACATTCAGCGATGACTTCTTCGTCTCTGTAAGTTTCAACTCTCACTCGACTCTGCTGTTTCCCCTACTAAAAAAGCCAAAATAGCTTCACTTAAAATTATTTCTTCGAATCATCTCGTAGGACTGCGTTATGTCTCGGTTCCAATCTTCTTCCACTCTGTGTTCTGCTTCTTTCAATTCCTACTCGTCCGCGGGCCCCAAGCTCGTTCCATTCCTGGTCCGAACCACGGCTTCGCCACATCGACGACGCGACGTGGAAATGTAAAGACGCATGCTACTATATCTATGTACGTGTGAGCGACGCTATCTAAATCGGAATCTGGACATCAATGTCTCGTTCCTGTTCAAAGCATTGCGCATACCACGCTCTGTCGAGGATCAACCGATTCGGATCTCCGGTTGAACATCGAAATTAAAACGCGTCTTTTGAGAACGCCGGGTGATTCCCTTTGAACGTCGATACCTGTCGACTTTTTACGATATCAACCGCGTGTCCTCCTCAATTTCGATCAATCAGAAAATGATCTTTCTGTAGAATAACCAGGATAAGTATTAACAGTTGGATTCTACATGATTGTAAAAAGACATCTGAGTGTGTTTCGTAATTCATGTAGTAAATTGTGGAAGTACGAGGCAGTTAAATTCCCATGTTAACAATTTCCATTCATCTGAACTTCGATACCACGAAAATTTGCATTTCTAATCCTACACCAGTCATCTGCATTTCGATACCTAACAAAAATCGGTCGAACGCTGCTGTTACACTTATCCGGGGCCGTGGAATTAGAACAATGAACACAGCTCGGTCGAACCAGCGAACACGTGGAATCGGATATCAACTAACAATCATAGAGGGGCAGGGAAAGAGTCCCGGATGATAAGAGGACGGGGGCTTCCGAATGGTACGATCGCGCCGTGGCCGTTGAGCTTTTTGGCGAGGAGCACCGCGGTAATCGGAAGTTAAAGGGGATATGACCGTGGAACGTAATGAATATATTTGCATATCGGGGCCGTTACCGAACCGTTACTGGTACAAGCTAGTATACCGGAGTACAAGTCTGTCCGACTGCCAAATATGCATGCGTCTCGCTCGGGGGCCAAACCGTCCGCGTCCGTTACGCTTCAGACCGACCGCCATGCATATAACGCTCCGAAGAGAGAATTGTCGATTAGTTTGCAAACTAGGGACGTGCATTCCGTCGTGACATCGCGCGGCGTCCGTATACGCGTGTCTGTCTGTCTGTCTGTTCGAGCGTGGAATTTCGCGCTTAGCACCGTCGCCTGGCATCGCCCGATCAGCCTGGCCTGTATACGTAGAGTGTCGCATAGCGACGCCTGGGATGTACATAGGAGGCCATCTAAATATCTCTTCTGCTTCTTATATTATCAAGCAGGGGTCTGTTTCTCCTTCTACAGACGCTCAGCCATTTTATTTTCATATAGTATCATCATTGTGTTATCTATTCTGTGTTAAAAATGTTCGTTCACTCTCTCTCTCTCTCGCTCGGAATGTAATAA